CGCTGGGGGCCGCTGCCCGCGCCGCCTCGCCACTGCCGCGGAGCTCCGCGCTTCTGTCGCTCCCACTTTCCGCACTCCTTGGTTGCCTGGGAAGTTGGGGAAAATGGACAGGGTCGTGCTGGCGTGGGTGGCTCTCTGCTCGCTAACAGGTAAAGACTCATTTTCTATCGAAACCGGTAACTTTGTATTTTCCAGTAGCGGTACTGTGCTCACCCCATTGCACCCCCATTCCCCCCTGTGTGTTTAGTAGCCTGGTGATACGTGGGGGAAGGGGTGTGTGTGTGTGTGTGTGTGTGTGTGTGTGTGTGTAAAATGGGGGACTAGGGGAGAACCCCATGACAAGTGACGAATCGAGATGCAGGTGTTTGACTCCTTGAGCTAGGAGATCGGTTTTCCCGATGTGCATCTCCCCTCCTTACAACGGTTCTCCCTCAGCCTTAGCCTGAGTTTGTGATGCTGGGGAAAACCTGTCTAGAAAACCCAAAGCTTGGAGGAGACTGGTTAATTTAAGAGAGCCGGTTTTCTGGAGGTGGGGGGTGGGTGGAATAGCATCTCCTTTAATTCCTTCCCGGGAGAGAGCCAGAGACCCGGAGTATTTTCCCTGCGGCTCCTGGACGTTAGGATGGAGATTTGTTTCGTGGTGGGGTTTAGGGCCACACACTCTCATTTAGTACCATTTGAGTAGTGGTCGTTGGAGTAGAGGCTTCCTTCCCCAGAAAGAGGGTTCACACGTCCTTGTAAAGGTAATTTGAAGGCTATCTGTAGCTTTGGGCTTCTCTCCTGCATCAGTCACTTCCTCTAGCTGGGTCTTCCCTCCCTTTTTGTGAACTTTCTCCCCACCCTCCTGGGGTTTGGAAAGGCCCTTGTCACCCCACACACTCTAGGAAGGAGAGACAGGGGTTCAGGCAGGCAGGCCAGCTTAAAGTTGGGGCATGTGAAGGGGAGGGTTTGGGCAGCTTGGACTGGATCAGAGGCTAACATTCCAGTGGCAGTGATGTGAGAACCCAGCAGGGAATCACACAGGATGGGCACAATGAAGTGGGAGAGAAAATAGGAAGTAGCACCCTTGTGGTAGCCACCCAGATTTGGAAAAAATCAAGTCAGTAGGAAAAGGGGAGCAAATTTACTATTTCCAAGGCAAATCATCAACAGTCATCAACAGAGGGTCAAATAGAAATAAGAAAGAGGGGGAACCATATTCCCCTTAGCTTCAGAATAAGATTATTGATTGCCTCAAGGTTTTTATTTTTCCTATTCCAAATGAAGCATCCCTCACCCTGCCTCTTGCCCCCTGTTGGGTTTAGATTGGGGTGCAACCTCCAACAGCGTTAGCCTCTTCTCTTGGCTCCTCTGAGTTCATCCCACCCACATTATTCAAATATGAATCATCTCTAATTTCAGGGTTTGGCAGATCCATGCCTCCCCACTCCTCTGGCCTCCCAGGGCCTTCCACCCTCCCCGATTCTGGATGTCCTTAATTTGCCTCTCCTTATCAGTTACCATATTTGAGGGAAGCTTAGACCTTGAGTCTCTAACACCACCTCCCTGAAGTCTGCAAGGCTTCCCCTGGGGAGAGGGTCCCTGAGTCAGCTATGCCCAAGAAGAACACTCAGTGCAAGGAGTGAGAGGGGCAAACATACAGCCCTCACAGGTGTCTAGCAGCTTTATATGAAACCAACTCAGATCCCTGGAAGGGACCACAGGCTTCTCCCCTGCATCTAGTTCAGTTCTCTTGGCTTATAGAAATGAAGCCCAGAGAGGCCATAGGCACACAGCCAGTGTGGATAGAATAGCCACAGGAACCCTGCCCTCCAGAGCCTGGGTGCACTCTCCTAAGCTTCTAGCTGCCTTTCTGAGTTTTTCTTTAAGGGTTTTGTTTTGAGGGGAGATGCTGCTTTGTCTGTGCCTTCTTTCATCTGCCCTGGACAAAGTCGCCCTGCCTGGATGAAGGCAACAGGTTAGTTTCCAGGGCTACCTCAGCTATCAAAAAGCAGGGGCTTCCATGCTCAGCTAGTGAGGCTGGTTCCTGACTCCCACTGCCCGCCCCCCCCCCCAGGCACCCCTGATCCCAGTTCTGTTTCCCTCTTGTCCCATCGAGGCTGTCAGGTGTCACAGGGTGAACTACCTCTCAGCCTGAGCCAAGTGGAGGAGCTAACAATGGCGGCTGGGAGGAGGAGGAGGGGAGCAGCCAGGGGTGAGATGGATTCAGACATGGTTCGTAGAAGAAACAGGCGAAGAAAGGTAAGAAATTTTAGTCCAGCTCAATCAATGAATTCTCTCTTGAGGGGGTGGAAGAAAGGGAGGGAGAAAGGAAAGGACAGATTAAAAATGAGTCAGAGAGCCAAGAAAGAAATAAAATAAAACACATTCATTCTCCTTCTCCCTCCCTATCAACTCCTACTTCCCTCTCTCTTTTTCTTTATCTCTCTTCCCATCCTACCCCTCCCCTTGTTTCTCTCTTTTAATGCAGGCTGAGCAATTTCTAATCAACACTTCATTTTTTTTTCCCTCGGGCTCTAGCAGCTCCTGCCTCATCTTCCACTGCTAAAATTCTGCATTTTTTTCTGCTGTATATTTAGCCTCATGATTTCTTATTGTCATCATGATGCTCCTTCCTTCCTATGATAGATTGTTTTTTGTTGTTGTTGTTGTCTTGAACAAAACAAAATGCTTAACAGCTGCTATTTTGGCAACAGGTGCCCTCGAGCAATAGCACTTGAAGGAAGGTTTACTCTGTCTTTGTTCCTGAGTGTGGATGGTGTCTTTCTTTTGCAGCAGCAGCTGCGAGAAACACTGGAGTTGTGTGGACACCCGGACACACTCCATGAACAGAATGGGACAGGAGATGTGTTTTCCTGGAGACTCAGTGATAAAGATTGTTGCTTCTACTAGCGTTTATTTTGGTGCCCACCCTTTTGGTTATATGCATTCATTCATCCATACTAGCAGTATGCATTCACTTCCTGTGGTTTCCAAGTGTTATGTTAGGTGCTGAGAATAAGGAGATTAAAAAAAAAAAAAAAAGGAAAAGAGACAGTCCTCGTCCTCAAAATGTAGTCAGTCTACATTGAGTCAGTGGAGTCAGTGACTCAGATGAGCTTCTAGGTAATGTTGAGATGTTAGCTAAAGAAACTGTGATGAGACTGCCTAGGTGCTCTAGAATGTGGGGCAGATATATCTAGCCCAAACCTGGGGTGGCGCTAGGACAGTCTGAACTTAACTCCCAGAAGAGCAGTGACTGAGTTAAGACCTTTATTCTTGCACAGTCAGCTGCTGAGTTACTGCCACGTGCAGGCGTCATGCTAGGGAAGTAAGATGAATCAGTCTTGTCCCCAAGGACCTCACGGTCCGGTGGCAGAGACTCCAGTTATGGGACATAAACACATAGTTACTGAGTAGCCTCCACTGAAAAAATAATATTGGAGCTCTGCTAAATATTGTGGGGGTCCATGGAGGGGCTCCTCATCCAGCCTGCAGCAGGGAGGGAGATTTCCCTCCAGGAATGGCTGCTACCTGGTCCTGTTTTCATTCCCGTTGTTGGGGGGAGACTGCGGCTACAGGTGGGGATTGCCAGCTCTGGAGCATTACCATGTCACTAATGCTGAGAAGAAGTTGCTTTTAGAGATTGCTGACACCCGGAGTACCACTGCCTTGTCTCCTGCACACCGTTCAACACCTCCTCTCCCCACGGCCCCCCATTCTACTTCCCTCCAGGAAAGAAGCCTTAGCTGCGGTCATGCTGGCAGTCTTGATGCTGGTACCCAGTGCTCGTATACTCTTAGCCGTACTTGCCCCACTTGTTTCATAGAAGAGTTCTGACATGGGAGTTGAGGACTGGGATCTAGTTCCATGTCCCCCACAAATTAACTCTATAGTCATGAGGCCTTGCTTAAAATCTGTTGAAAGAGGTAATTTCTAAGGTTGTGTGCAGGTCTAAGATTCTATGGTTTCTCTGTGTAATTTTGATGAGTTGGAAGTCAAAGAGGGCAGGTCTGCTCTCCCTTTTATTATTCACTCAGTGAAGAGCCATCAGAGAGCTCCAGTTTTCTTTTGTCCCCACAACCATTAATGGTTGGGATGAAAAACACCATCTGGGAAAGGAGAACTCTATTGGAATTTTTAAAGCAATAAGTGGACTAGTACCTGGTGCTTGGTCCCCAGGATAGGGTCACTCTGAACAATTCAGTGAGGTCTTCTCATATTGGTGAAGGAAGACAAGTCCTTAAACCAGGTGGGATGAATCTGTCTTTAGTCAACATCGGTATTTGAAAACCCGATGTCTTTTTTGTAACGGAGGCTGATATCTCCTACCTATATTAAATTAGACAAAGACACAAAGCAAATAAGAGACTTGTCCAAGTGATGCCATCTTATTAATTAAATGAAAAAGAAGTAGCCTCGCTGATTTAATATGATTTAGTTATTTCAAGTGCCTGAATCCAGGATGACTTTGTCTTCTGGGTAAGGTCAAACCAGAACTCCTGATATGAGAGGACATAATGCTGTCTCGTACAGAACTTTGTGTAATGAGGCTCAGTGTTGTCACAACTCAAGAAACATTGCAGAGAAACGTGTTTTTAATGAAAGCCTGAGTCCTGAAGGAAAGGCATGGATGCAGAGTGCACCAGAGTGACCGGGCAGCAGTGGACATGATCCCAGGCAGTGCACCTGACATGTCAGACCCCATCTGGGATCAGCACCCAGGAGCCACATAGGACAGAGCTGTGGCATATAGATGCTTGAAATCTTGGTATTCCAGACAGCTTTTGGCTCTCTAAAAATGAAAAAAAAAAAAAAAAGGCATTTTGGATGACTAGATTTCTTTACAGGTCAAAAGATAAGGAAGAACCCAGAAGAACATGCTGCTTCCCCTGTTTTCCTGCAGTACTGGAGCATGCTGGGAAATGAGCTCTGCATTAGGACGAGAACCCTCTCATTCTGTCAGGATCCTGTGACTCTCACCTCCCATGCTTGTGGCTCTTGGGGAGCAGACTCAGAAATTGAAAGGGGAGGAGCATGGATTAGCGTTAGACTGACCTGGATTTGAATACTAGCTAAATAGTTTGCCTGATTTTCTTTGACTTTAACATGGGGAGCTCACTTAGCTTACAGGGTTATTGTAATAATTAAAATGAAATTATGCAAAACT